TGGAACAGGGCCTACCCAAGAAGGAGGAGCCAGCCTGGAGGTCCCTAAGGAGAGAATAGGGGCTCCCTTTCCTGAGAGGGTCCTTGACAGCCTGCCCCTAGGGAAGGAGGGCAGTCCAGCCCCTGCCTCTCCCTAGCCAGTCAGGAGAGGGCGCCTGGGGGCCAGAGGCCGGCCCTCCTCCCCTGACCAGCATTCCACAGCCTTCCTCGCCTCGGGAAGCTCTAAGATTGCTGCCCTCAGCCCTCATTGACCAATTCTTCTGGTTTGATTTAATTTTCCCTGGTGATATTTCAACAACGTACCTTCGCCTTGCCAGTGAACACCTCAGTTCAGTTTATGCCTCAAGAATGGCTAACTACAGGGAGAAGTTTTGGGTGGCTGGGATGTGCACCCCAGGGTGAACGGGGCTCTGAGTTTAGGAGAAAGAGCCTGTCCTGCTCGCACCTGTCATCCTAGCTACTCAGGAGGCTGAGATCTGAGGATCGCTGTTCAAAGCCACCCAGGCAGGAAAATTTGTGACACTCTTAGCTTCAATTAACGATCAAAAAGCCAGAAATGGTGCTGTGGCTCAAGGTGGTAGAGCACTAGCCTTGAGCACTAAAGCTCAGGGTCAGCACCCAGGTCCTGAGTTCAATCAAGCCTTAGGACAGGCACACACAAAAAAGGTGTGTATGTGGGGTGGGGGAGACTCTTTTCTTCAGGAGGTTAAATCCTGGACGACCCAGCTGAGGTACAGCTACCTTTCAGGTCACTATGCTCCATGGGGGCTGTCACAGAGGCAGGAGAAAGAGGAAGATTTCTTCTATCAGGCAACACTTCCTTCAAGGGGTACTGGACACCCCAGACTCAAGGCTCCTGCCCTGGCCCCAGCCCTCTTCCCACATTCCCACAAAGAAGAGACTATTACCCAGTGGCCTTAGATCCCAGGGCCCCTCTCCTAAAGCACCAAGAGGACACAGAGCCTCAAGTAGGAGGACCAATTCCAGTCTGATCCCCGGGGAGAAGGCCTCATAATGCCTGGTAGAGGTGATGGCTGGGGAGGGGGGCACTGAAATTTGCAGGTAGACTCTGGTGCCTGTTTCCCTACTGGACTACCAGCTTGGTGGCAGTGCCTTACCTAGTACTGTCTCCCAGTGTTTGTCTCAGTGTATGCGTTGGGAGCATGCTTGCTAAATGAATGGCTGTTTTTGCATACCTCCATCTCTACCTGCTTCTTCCTCAATTTTTAGAGAGGTACTCCATAGTCAGACTAATGGGGCCCCAAGTTCTGGAGTTCTGTAGGCCGGCCACCATTGTTCTGTGCGGGTTGAGGGGAGTATAGGATGAGAGTGCAGGAACGAGGGCCTGGGCAGGCATTGGAATATTTTAATCTTAGTCATGAAGTGCCCTAGGTGAAATGCATGTGAGTTTGCCAATGACACGTTATTGTATTTTTCTTTAACAGCGTGGCTGATTAAGAGACACAAAACTGTGGCCTGGGTCCTATGCTTGGGGAGCCTGGAATCTGGTGACACAAGCGCTTCTCTATGTTCTTGCCTGTCTCCTTATCCCCATCCTAGATTAGAGGAGGGGCTGGGGGTGGCAAGGTTGTAGGACCCCTTCCCACTCCCACTCCCCCGTTTTTAATCTTTGTTGTTCTCCTTTCTCTGGGTCTCTACCTTGATTCCTGAGGCTAACCCCCAGGCTTAGGTCTGTGAGACCACAGGGATCCTACCTACCAAGCTGAGCTCTCTCTCTCTCTCTCTCTCTCTCTCTCTCTCTGCTTACCTGAGAAGCCTCATAATGGAGACTCCAGGGACAAGTGGAGAAAGCCCCAGGGAAAAAAAGGAAGTTCATGCCTGACCTCTCCGTGCTTTCCTGTTCAATGGAGCAGCACGTACCCCACTCCCGGGGGCGGGGCGGGGGGGGGGGCTTCCAAGCTGCTCCACGTTAGAGGGAATCTGAGCTGTTCCAGCTTCCGAGTAGAGATGGGCTAGGGCACAGTGAAGGCTCTAGCCATGGAGAGAGTCATCTGGTGGCCTAGAGAGAGGTCACCCTGTCCTCAGTAGCAAGTACACTCACTGCTGCTCTGGTCCAGGTCTGGAGGACAGTATGTTGGGGAACCTGCTGGGTGCTTCTGAAACTAGTCTTCCAGGTAAGTGCTGGGCCAGAGATGCTCTCACAGATCCATGCCAAACACAGCTGGATAAGTCTGGATACCGTAGAAGCAAAGCCTTTGAACCTCAGTAGTGCTCCCCACCCACCTTCATGGGTGGAGTCAGACTGCTAAACTGTGCTCCCACAGCCTGTTCTAGTTGGAGGACCCTCCTCATTTCTGACAGAACAGGCCTGCGGGAGGCCTGCATTCCCCACACCTGAACTAGGGGAACACCTGGCAATTTCTCTTGCTTCTAAGCTTTGTCCACCATTCATTCATTTCTCCAACAATCCAGCCTCGTTTGCCCTGCTACCATGGGCAAAGGCAAGTCTGCTGTTTGGGGGGGGGGAGGAAGGAAATCTCAAACTCTCCCTCAGAGTACATAAGTTTACCAAAAACTCTTAGAGAGGAGAAGCCAGGTCCAGAGTGAATTCGTGAATCCTGGTGGGACCTTGGATTAGATCGATCTAACGTCTTTCTACACTAGCATCTTGCTTTTTATTGGGTGCCTACTGTGAGTCTGGTGTGGTTCTGAGCTTTGCTGTGCACCTGTGTTCTGCTGCCTGGGCCAGGGCAGGGAGCCTACCGGCTCCCTTCTTGGGCTGGTCCCCTTCTGTCCCTGGCCCTTCTCTCTGTGACTTGGGCAGATGGCTCATTGAACCCCTTAGCAAATTCTCCTTCATCTGGCTCTTCCTTAGCTGGAAATATCATAGACCTCCCCCCCCCCCCCCCGAAGGCCCAGATACAGGTGCAGGGTGACTGTTTTTAAAGAGAACCGTAGGACTGGGGATTCCCTAAAAAGCCAGTGTTTTTCCTGAAAAACAAGCTTTAGTTTTCTGGCTAGACCTGGGGTCCCTGACAACCTGTGCTGGATTGTGGGACTGATTATCAGAGAGGAAAGTCACACCCCTGAGTCCCTCCGCACCTCCCAGAGGGGCCAGGGGTCAGGGACACCTCCGGCCTGCTCTCCAGCCTTCTCCATCCCTGTCTGCTTCTTCCAGCTCTCTCTGCACTCCAGGTCTGCCCTCACTTTCTCCTCATCAGGATTTTTCCTTTCAGGCTCTCTTTTCTCCCTTTTCCGCAGGCTTCTCCTACTCCGTCCTCTAAGTAAGAATGTCCACCCAGGCAAACAAGCAAGCCTCGGAGTTCTCATCTTGCAAGTTGGGATGGCGGTAGTGTTTGCTTTACTGAGTGATGATAATTAATAGATCCCTTGTGTGTGACAACCATTATTACTTTAAAAAGGAAGAAAAAAAAGCTTCCTTTTCCTGTAGAACTTTCTCTGACATTCCCATGTGCTGTTAGCGCCTTCCTCTTCTTCCACCATTTCTCTCAGTATCTCTCCTCTGTGTCTCTCAGTTCTATTCACCTCCTTTCCCTCCCTCAGGCTTGTCACCAGCCCACCCTCCCCCAGTTCCGGCCATAGGCCACAAGGCCCAGGTTGTACTGACAAGGGCAGGGCAGGGCTGGTGGCAGTCTTGTTTCTCATTAGAGGCTCAAGAATGTGTGGAGTCATGAGGGACAATAAGAGCCAGCAGCAAGAAGAATGGGGCCTCTGTCAGGGCAGGACAACTTTCCCAAATCCTGGCCTTGACTGAATGGGAGTACCTGAGGGCTGGGGAGGGGTGGAAGCCCTGTGGTCGCAGGTGGTAGGCATGGGGGGGAGGGGACTGGGCCTGGGCTCCCTGGAGTCAGCCAGCTTGGGAATTCTTAGCCTCTGCAGGGAGAACAGCTCAAGATCCTCCTTGGAGACAGGGCCTAGGAAAGCCACAGGGGTTTTTAGTGGCCTTCACACATATCAGGCTGGAAGTGGGGCTGCCTGGGCCCACCAGCCTCCAACGCAAGCAGAGGCCCATAAGATTTGAGGTGAGACAGGAGGTTGGGGTCAGATCATGAGCCTGGCTCCAGTGTGAGAAGGGGGTGAGTCCGTGGGGTTGTCCCTGAGTGGTGATTTTGAATGCCTGGGGTTCAGGGAAAGCAGGTTCTCAGGGCTCTGGGAGGGAGGTGTTTTCTGGGGAAAGGAGATGACTGCTCACTCGACTTGTCTCTTCCTCCACATTCCAAATGAGGTCCTAGCGACTGTCAGCCACCAAAGGCCCCCCACCCCCCGGGCTTCCAGATCTTACTTGGCTGGTCAGCTAAGCCGGTCCACGGGCAGGTCAAGACTTTTCTGGGCCCAAGGATGGGAAGCCAGGACAGGTGAGCCTTTGCCAGGAATCAAAGGGGAAGACAAGGGGGAGAGGAAACAGGACAGCTGGTCTTGTTTCCCACTTCTCCCCCTTTCAGGGGTAGGGAGTGGTGGGAACAGGAGAAAGGGGTTGGGGCGGGGAGAGGAACGGAAGCTTTTTAGATAGGGAGGAGGGTCAGGCAGTAGCGGGGGCCTGTGGGGAGCTGACTCAGGTCTCCTGCCAAAAATTAAACCATTAAAAAAAAAAAGCTGGAGGGGAGCGGCAGGGGAAGGATAGAGAGAAAGGAGATGGGGGGGGGGAGAGAGGGGACCAAACAGCCCCTCTACACCAATAGCCCGGCAGGGGGACGTGAGTAATACTCGGCTGGTTCAGAGGAAGTGAGATCAAAAGCCAGCAGATACAAGAGGTTTGTGCTTCACCAACCAGACAGCCGGAGGCTCAATGAGACCTTTGTTCCCCGGGCCCAAGTCAGGGTTGAAGGAGTACCTGACCATCCCCGCCTGCTGGCTGCCCCGCCCCCTCCGTCCTGGGCCGGCGCAGGGGTGGGTCACCGGGGAGTCAAGGGGAGTAGGGCAGCTCCGGCCCAGCCAACGGTGGGCGGAGGAGGGAGGAGGCCTGCCCTCACTGGGGCGGGGAGCTTCTGGGGTGAGTGGAGGAGCGAGTGGCTGCCTGGCAGGCAGGAAGTGGCTCTGCAGGAATTGAGGGAGACTTCGAGGGAGAGGAGCCTTGCTGGGTCCGCCAGGTGAGCAACTCCTGGGCTCCCGGCACCCCCTGGCCAGCACCTCTTAGAGGGGACCGTGGGCACTCAAGCCTGGAGCCCTTGGCTTCTTGCAGGTTTGGGGTTTGGGATTCTGGGAGTCGAGGAGTCAGAGTTGGATGGGAAGATGGGTGGTATCTACTTTGACCCTCAAAGGTTACGATGGAGGTGTGTGTGTGTGTGTGTGTGTGTGTGTGTGTGTGTGTGGTGCTTCGTGCTGAGTTACAGTGGGTTGCTACTCTCTGAAGAGATAGAATCTGATCTGGGCCTCAGGTCATCTCCCACGGTCCTGCTTTGGTCCCTGGGAGTTCAAGGCTGTGCCTGGAGGTCTGAGTCCCCTGGAGTCTCCCTGACCTGGGCATGCAGGGGTCCTGGTTTGCCAAGGCACTCCTTCAAGTCCTGTGCCCACAGCCAAACCCTGGCAGGAGAGAACGTTAGAACTTTGGTTTAGGGCATATCTTTTCCAGGCTCCCAAGACCATGGTGCTTCACACCATAGCTCTTTACCCTGGCCACCTGGTCGTGGAGATGCCTGTGCCAATTACTGGGTCCCGCCTACTATACAGCAACAGCACTGACGGGTCAGCGGGCAGAGCTGGCTGCCCTCCGCTGGAGATTTCAGCTCAAGTCTTTGCCTGCCTCTAAATAGGTTTGGAGATGCCCCCCCCCCCCCCCGCCTTCCCCTTCTTCCACCAAAGAATGGGTACAGTGAGTAGCTCCCTCCATTAGTCTGAGAAAAATGAGGGGATACCTTAGCCCTAGGAGGGTACCCCAAACACTTCTGCCCTTCCAAAGAGAAAACTGGCCTTTTGTTTCTGCATTCTTTTGCCCCTCTGCTTCATGTGCTGGCCTGGAAAGGGTTAAAGCTTAGAAAGAGGGAGCCCACAACGGGGCCTCTCTCTGGACTGACCTGGCAGCTTTGAAAAGGGAGGCCCTTATTTGCTAGGGGAGGGGAGGAGGTAGTTAGAGACTCTGGGAGGGGGCTAGAAGCTAATTAAGGGGCTTTGAGGAGGTCCTTTATGGCCAGGAAGCCACCGCTTCTCCAACCAGCAGTGGGGACCATTGTGTGGGGCCTTTGTGGGCCCAGAACTGGAGACTCATTACTGAGATGGCTTTGGTGTTCTTGGGGCCCAAAGGAAAGGGGTTGGGGGTAGGGCAGGGAGAATGCGACCTGGGGGGCCCTAGGCTTCCTGGGAGGCAGACCGGTGGGGAAGGGGACTGGTGAGATTCCTCAGGTGTCCCCCCAGCTTACTGCTTTTGAGATTCCTGCCGCCTGACCCCCCTCAGCTCTGCTGTGGCCTATGGCTTTTCATTCCTATGTGATTGCCGTTCCGAACTCATGTAGGGCTAAAAGCCATGGGCTACAGTGAGGGGCCAGCTCCTTCTGCACAACTGCACTTCCCCACGGACCGGCCACCGAGAGGGGGGGGTGTGACTGGAAGCCACGCCTGGGGGAGGGGCCCCGCAAGGGATCTGGTATCCTGGGGCTAGGGCCGGGTGAGGAGGGGTTCCAGCTGCCTGACTTGGGGCAAGTCACTTCCACTCTCTGGACCTGGTCCCCAGTCTAAAATAAAAAGCCTGGGCAGCTGTTCCCAAAGAAATAAGAGGGAGGTGCAAAGGTTTGCTGAGGAGTTGCTTTCCTCCTTGCTAAGTTATTGAGCCCTGGCTCATGCCCAGAGATTTGGGGGCTGGAGGCAGGGGCCATGTGCCTCAGAGTCGTGGTCCCTTCCTCAGGATCTCCAGGATGCTTTCTGCTTTTCAGCCTTGCTCCTGTATTTCACCTTTTTCTGTGCCCAGCTTGGAATTCTCAGCCTTCCCGGTCAGCTGTAATGGGGTGAGAATGTTCCAGAATGGAGCTAGAAAGGGTCGGGTGCTGGTGGCTCACATCTGTAATCCTAGCTACTCAGGAGACTGAGATCTGAGGATCACAGTTCAAAGCCAGCCCTGGTAAGATAGGCTGCGAGACTCATCTCCAGTTAACCACAGAAAACCGAAACTTTGAGCTGTGGCTCAAATTGGCAGAGTACTAGCCTTGAGCAAAGGAGCTCAGGGAGAGTGCCCAGGCCCTGAGTTCAAGCCCCAAGACCAACAAAAACAAAGAAACTGGGAAGGCTGCAGCTCCCCTAGGGCAGCAGCAGGATGGACGGAACCTAGGGTCTCTAGCTCCTGGTCCATCCCTAGCTCCTGGTCCCTCGAGTTCCTTCTTACACTCCACCTTCCTGTCACAGCCTGCCTAGCCCCTTCCTTCTGTTTCCAAGCCTACTTTATTTCCATCCCTCTCCCTCCGCCCTCCTCCTCCCCAACCATCCTGGAGACTCCAGCAGATGGAAATGAAGCAGGCTGTGATGTTGGTGGAATCACCCCTGCTTCCTACACACACCCCCTACAGCCCCCGGGCTGTCTAAAACAGACCACTGAAGATGAGAGGACTATATTTGGTGCTGAGAATCTGAAGGCAAGTTACTTATAATGTCTTGGCGCCCCTAATTCCCTCCAATCGATATTTGCTGAGTGCTTCCTGTATACCACAGTTCTAACCTGTAGGAGCTCATCCATTCCCCCAAATAGCTGTATCTACTATTGGCCCATTTTGCTTATGGGAATCCGAGCCACCGGGAAGTTGGGAAACTGTTCCAAGCACATTTGGCTAGTAAGGGGCAGAGCTGGGGATTGAACCCAGATTCTCCACAGCCAGAACCCAGTGTTTTTACTGCCTCCTGCGGACGTAGGGAGAGCTAATACCACCTGAGTGGTGGGACTGATCCTAGAGTGCTGTGCACAGCCCAGGGGTGCTCCAGAAGTGTCTGGGGGTGCTGGTCCTCAAATTGGCTCCATGACCCGACTCCAATTACTCAGCCAATCACACTTTCCCAGCAAGAGCAGAGGGGAAAGAAAAAAAATCTAACAGGAGAAGCAAAGAGAAAACCCAAACCAGCTGGGGTTATACTTGGCTGGTCCAGGTTACAAGCACTCCCATCCCAGCTTGGATTCTCTAGAGATGGGTAGCACCTGCCCCCCCCCCCCCCCCCCCCCCCCCCCCCGTGAGGCTGCCGCAGCCGAATTGGTCTTACTCCCTGTGGTGCTCTGAGAATCTCCCGATTCCTGATTCCTTCTCTTGACTCCCGATCTCCCGCCTTGAAAAGTTAGATGGGAACAATGTCCCCTTCCTTCTAGCCCCCAGAGCCTTCCAGAGAATGAATTCCATTGTGTAGTTTACCCACTTCAAGACCCCAGCACTGAGGGGAGAGGGACAGGTGAACCATTTCGAAGATTCTACCTCTAGAAAGCTCCGGCCAAGCAAGGCACTAAATAGGAATTGCAGAGTCCATATTAGTGGGAGAGACTGTGAGCTGGGAAAGGGAAGGTGGGGGGGAAGGGGGGTAGGTGAGGTGAGTTTCCATGAACAAAAAGGCAGAGCAACTCACCTGAGGAGAGTCCCTGCTTTGCAGGGAGGGGCAGAGGAGAGGGTATTTGACGCACTCTGGGGTAACAAAGTTGGACCTCCTTTCCAGCCTTTGTCACCTCTGGGCAGGCTTGGAAAGATACACAATTGTATATGTCACATAATTGTTGAACTGCCCTGAATAGGCAAGCTGGCCTCATGCCCTCTCTCCCGAAGGACTCACAGATCCGAGGCCGGCCGACAGCTGAAAGGGAAAATATTCTGAGCAATCTAAGTTGCTACCGTCCTCAGACCCAGCATAAAGGCTCCCACGGGAGAGCGGGCCCATGTTTAACCACACAGAGATTCAGGCAGGTCTCTCTCTCTGGTAGTATCTACGATTTTTAGTGGAAATGGAGTTTGACTGCTAAGCTCTACTTTCTGAAGGCAAAGATGATGGCGGGGGTAAGGGGGAAATCTCTGTCTTCATTTTTAGAAAGGGATAGCACTGTTTGACCTCTTTTTTTGGGGGGGGTCCCTTCTAGCCTGAGCCAGTGCCTAAGTGCCCCCCCTCTTGCTGTCCTGATGACTCAGGGTACACCAGCTTCTGCTAAACCCTGAATGCAGGATACAAGGGCATTTCAAGACTTGCTACCCTGGGCGCCCCTCCCCCAGCTCTGATGGCACCCCAGTATCTCAGAACCACTGATAAACACTTAGCTGCCCTTTTAGTCTTGGGAGGTGGGGGGGGGCAGGCAAACAAAAGGCCAGTGTGGCTGGCCTTGGCCTGCTCTAGGGGTGGTGACCTCAGGGGTCTTGGCTCCAAGGGCTTGGCTACCAAATCCAGGCAATTCTGGCTCCCGCAGGCCAAGAAGGAGTTAACTTCCAAGGAGAACTCGGGCTTCTCCCAGACAGGAGCCTGGTGCCCAGCTAGGCTGCTGCCAACTCTGGGAAGAAGTCCTGGGATCTGTAGTTTGTGCCACCACCCACCCCTGGCCTGCCTGTTTATCAACACCGCCTGGTAGACTACAGTTCCCAGAAACCTGCAGAGGCCTGGCTTTGGGGGAAGGGGTGGGGTGTGAGGCTCGGAGATGGCAAGGGAGGGAGAGGGAGGGGGTGGGGAGAGAAAACCCAATTCGCCCCCTTCCTTTTTAATTCTTTCTCCTGGTGTGTCTGCTCCAGAGCCAGAGCTAATCCCCCAAATCCGGTCTCCTAAGCTGCAGCTGCTTCCTTTCTCGGAGATGAATGGCTCGGGGAGGGAAGGTGAATTCATATTTTAATTACTGAGGCGGGGTGCGAAGGGCGCTGGGGAGGGGGGCAGGGCTCTGCATTGTTCCAGAGGTTCTGGGGGCATCCTTCCCCACCGGGTCACTTCACTGCTGCCCTTTACCTGAGGTGGGGGTAGGGGGCGTCGGGGGGGGGGGGTCTTAAGGAAAGCTTGGCTTCTGTCTGAAGAGTTGGAGGGTGGGAGGGACATTACCTCTTGTTTGAACTCTTGGCTTATCCCAACAGTGCGGAGTATCTTTCTACCCTTCCCACCCCCACCCCGCCACCCACTTCGATGGAGGACTGCACCAAAATTGGAGAGATACCAGAGAGTTGGT